AGGAGAAGAAAATTAGAAAAAAAAATTAAATTTAGACGAGAGTCTAAGACGAGCCACTAGCAGGCTCGTGGGTACGAGCCCACGCGCCGCTCGCCGAGCGGCTCGCCTTGGGCGAGCTCGAGCACGAGCCGAGCACGCCCAAAATCCAACGAGCCACGAGCTCGGCTCGTACGAGCACGAGCCGAGCTCGTGTGGGTATGGGCCGAGCCGGCTCGGCTGGGCCCATTGACATCCCTATCTAAAAATCTGAACAGATGACGTGGCCAACAAATTTCGACTCCACTCATGTCCACTTACCCTAGCTTCTGTACACTTTTGACAAATTGTTAGTTGCACGTGACTTTCTCCAATGGTGGAGAAGACAACCGTGAGCACTCCAACGGTCAATTTAGTCAACAAGTAGTGTATTGAGTGTGGGACGTGCTAGCGTGAGCTACCAAGTATAAAAGGATCGAATCCGGGATTATGTAAAATAGAGAGAGATAATGTCAGAGCAAAGTTATAGTCGAGTGTATAAAGTTGAATATCCTTCAAATGGCACTAAGTGTGAGCTTTTACAGTAAAATATGTGCCATATTGACCGTTGGATGGAAAAGCACGTGGCCTCATCTTGATAGTTAAGGCGTCCTTTCATAGGTGCCAATCCATCCATCATAGGCTGGGTGACATTTGATGATTCTAAAAAGTAGCCATCAAAACACAAAGATCTGATCTCTAAATCATATACTGGAGATTTGACATTTTAGGCGCCTGTTCTAGAGATATCACACCAATCAATTGTGGTAGGATCTTATGTAGAAGATCTTCAATAAGAAGTGAAGTGGGAGATGCCTTTTGTTAATGAGGTTGGTTGCCTCAAACTCCTTCCCTACAGCATGCATAACACCTCGCCTAGATCATGGAGGTTGGCATCTTCATGGCACCTCAGTGGGAATGATGCATCACATCTGCTACCTTATATATGACCTAACATCGCCCATATAGGAGGATGATGTGAAGTATGGGCTTAGTTGATTTGCTAGCAAGTTGCCACGTGGTGATAAGCTGGAGCTTTGTCATAAGAGGCGTAACAATAGTCCCCCGGTCTATCTACGGATATTTATATGATGTGTGGACTTATAGTGTATGGTGGAAGTGAATTCCTTGCCGAGGTGATGCGTTGGCGTTGAACATTTTACCTTCTTTTGACGAGGTGATAGTCGTGCATTTAAACACGACACAACAGTCAACAGTCACCCAAATCCAAACATAGATGTTTATATAATGAGTGAAATTTGAGGTATAGGAGAGCTAGGGCAGAGGTGGAAAAGTCTGAGCAAAAGTTGAGGTTAAGCTTCAAAAGATTGAGTTTGAAGCGGCTCACTTGAGCAAGGACTGCATGAAGCGGAGTCCTAGGTGGCTGCTTTGACAAAAAGGATTGATCAGTCTAATGGACATCAACGCCTAGGTGCAGAAGCACTGGAGGGGGACCAACAAGGAAAAGACTGAACTAAGGCAGCAAGTAGAAGCCCAAAAGGAGAAGATAGATTCTTTGAATGCAGAGGTGACCATGGTTGGCGAAGTAGCTATCGAGAACTACATCGACAACTTTGACAAAACGAAGGAGTATGATGACTTTGCCAACTACTAGGCTTCCTGGAATGCTCAAGAGATGCTAGTTTGGATTAGGGAAGTTCATCCGAAGTGGGACGTCAAGTTCCTAGCAAAGGAGTTCGGTGGACCAACGACCTAATTCTGAAGATCTAAAGGCTAATGTGGCAAATGCTGAGGCGAACCGGGAGGAGATAATGTGGAGTGTGGGCATGGTTGACTTGTTAGTTAGCTGCCATGTGGTGATGAGCTAGAACCTCATCATAAGAGTCGTAACAAATTTATTATTGTAGATGCTTGTCAGTTGTTGGGTTGCTTGATAGCCTCCAAGCATAAGTTTAATCTGCACTCCTCATCTTCGGTCTCATTCCAATGTGAGAAAATTGTTGGTTGAACAACGAAGAGTGTGAATAACGAATAGGGAATTTAAGGCTTATAGTACGCAGGATTGTTTTAACCTTTTTCCTTGAATGAAGGGTTCCTAATATGGACTTCCATTGTTGATAACTTGTTTCATAGACTGTTATTCCCATGCGGGACATGCTCTGGGGTTTCTTTGATACCCGACTAGAATAAAGGAAATGGAGATATAAGATTCTTTATTTTTTATTTAATGATATTCTATCCTGGTTATGGTAGTTCATAGTATGATTTCGTCCACTTCTATAATCAAGTGAGATCACCCCAATCAATAGCGCCAAGTTTGCAAGGAGCCCACACACTCTCTATTGACCAATCGTTTCCCGACATTGGGAAAATGACTTGTCAACAATCAACTTTTTATCTTATGCTCGTGGGAAGTTTATCATTACGACATCTATATGAGACCACCGCTCTTTCGGCATCAGTTGTTACATTGTTCTTGTACACGAGAACTAGTCATGGAGGCTTTGAAGAGAATAAGGTACACCCAATTCTTTCACTAATTAAAATGGAAGTTCATCTACAGAATTGAGTGGGGGCCCAACTATTCAGGGGCATTTATAAGGATAAAAACGACAACTTACCAAGAGGCTGATAAGATTTTGTATTTTTCCATTTATACGGAAACCACTCCACAGAAATGCACCAGAAAACTCACAATGGGGTGAGCCCCACTGTGTATTTTTAAAAAATAAAAAATGTATGGACCCCACATGGTGCGAGTATTCTGGCCCATTTCTATTGGTTTTCCCATCTATGTGTTGCGCTGTCTATTTTATGCAACACTTGAAAGGCATCATAATAATCTCTGTTACCAGAAGTGGAGTGCGTACAAATAATTTGTAATTCACATTTTTAAAATTCAAGGGTCCCAATTAATTAGGAAAATAATAGAAATTTCTATTTTAGTATGTATACAAAAGTCAATACATTTTGTCGACTTGTTTATGGCAATAGAATGTACACCACGAACAATTTTTTTTTTCTCCCTTCAAAGCTAAGTATAGTGCTCAAGATAATACTCGACTCAAGATACCAAACAAGTCCTTTTGACAGTGTGAATAGTATGAGCGAACAACCTTGATTAAAATGAAATTTTGATTACAAAATCGAACAATTAACATGACTGATACCCCCTGGCCCTAGCCCTAGCCCTAGCCCTAACTCTACACATACACCCCAAACTTGAAAGTTCACTATGGGTCATTAACATTTTACATATCAAACTATGAACTCCCTTTTCTAGCTTCCCCGTGTATCTATATATATGTAACTACTCCCTCCATGTTTTTTTTTCTCAAAGAAAAATGAAGCCATTCGATCAAACTTGTAGTGCAAACAATGACTCGACGCCACTGCCCGACCACCACCTTGTCAATGCACACCACCAGTGTTTGGCAACTCTAGAGGGCCAGAACTCCTACATAACGTCTCTCGTTCTCATGGGAAAATTTCTATTGAGTGGCTCTTCTAATAAGGAAATTTGTTTATGGAAACGCGACGCATTGAGCCCCACGAATGCCTCCGAAAGTCTCACTGATAAAAATATGGTTGTGGCTGGAAAGGGTGCAGTGAAAGCTCTCGTAGTTTTAGCTGATAAAATCATAAGTGCTCATCAAGATCACAAAATTCGGGTATGGAAAATTGATAATCTGGATAACGATGAGCAGAAGTTTACACAGTTGGCCACGCTTCCAACGTTCAGTGACCGAGCACTCAAACTTTTGGTACCCCAAAACCATGTTCAAGTTCGACGCCACAAGAAATGCACATGGGTTCATCATGTTGACACAGTATCAGCACTAGCCTTGTCAAATGATGAATCCTTACTCTATTCGGTTTCTTGGGACCGGACTCTCAAGATATGGAGGATATCCGATTTCAAATGCTTGGAATCAGTTGCCAATGCACATGATGATGCAATAAATGCCATTGCGTTATCCAGCGATGGACATGTTTACACCGGATCATCTGACAAGAAAATCAAAGTATGGAAGCAAAGCAAAGAAAATAAGAAGCATACCTTAGTTGCAACCCTGGAGAAGCACAAATCTGGGGTTAATGCAGTGGCACTGAGCGGAGATGGGTTGACGATGTATTCAGGTGCACGTGACAGGTCAATAGTGGTTTGGACGAAGGTGGATGGAAACTGCGGTATGGTGACAGCGGGTACACTCCGGGGACACACCGAATCCATATTGTGTTTGGCCACTGTATCAGATATGGTGTGCAGTGGTTCAGCAGATAAAACTGTGAGAATTTGGAGAGGATTTGGGGAATCCTATTCTTGCTTAGCAATTTTGGAAGGACACAGAGGACCAGTTAAGTGCGTTACTGTAGCATTAGATTATTCCAATCCATCAGATACAAAATCAAACTATCTCCTATACAGTGCTAGCCTGGACTGTGACATTAAAGTTTGGCAGATTAATCTTCTACCCCTCTTCTAACACAATCAAATTCCACATTCTATTTTTGCAGTTTTAAAATACATTTCTATAAAAGAGGCCTCCATGATGAAACCAGGGTCGAGGCTTTGCTTGTTTATCCCATAAGAAGTGAAACCCTTCCAAATTAGAAGAGGCACTTCTTTTCTACTTTTATTTCTTTCTTCTTAGTATGCTTTCAGCTTTTCCATCATTATGAAGTTTTGTGCTTGTCTATTTCATAACTTGTACGGGGAAAGTTCAGAGTTCCACAAAAAACTATTTTCCTTCTCTCGACTAATATTCATGCAGTTACAACTTAGTGAAACGAAAGGCAAACGCGGTAATATATGGTAAGACTAGTATCTGAACTTCCAGATTAATCAAGTTTTACTATCTTCTTAAAATATTTTCAGGCAGGAATAGGGGTGAGGAATTACGAGAGCAAAAGGAGCTAAGTTCATTTTGATTGTTGTTTGAATAAATCATAATAATGATAAAATGGGAGAAAGAAGGTGGAAAAATTTTCCTTATTGTCTGCTTAATTTCAAACATCTTTTTACCTATCTATCCTACTTAACCATAGAAACGATTATTTAATCTCAGGAATTAATCAGATGATTAGTACCTTGATTAAATAAAACTTACACTAAAGTCTAAAGATAAAGAAGATCATAAATATTCTTATTTTCTGTTTCAAACCAGATAGCCATTAGCTATGATTAATTTAATCTCAGGACTTAATCAGATGAATAGTACCTTAAATAAATAAAACTACACAAAGGATAATGAGGCCCACAAAAAATTCAACCTACTTTTCTGATATGTCCACGGTTGGAATCTGAATCGTTGATTCTAAAGTTAGACTCATAATCTTCTGCCAACATAGAGATTATGTTCGACACAATTAAGCTAATTGACATGATTAAAAAATTAGGTGCACGAAAAGAAGCCTAAAATTCCGCAGGGAAAATGGAAAAAATTAAACTGCATATACTTTTCTAACCAGATCCTGCTTTCATATAGAGTAAAGTAGACAGTATGAAGTACACAAAATGTAATTGAGACACACAATTGACCAAGGTTCGAGTCTATGATTCAACATAGCTCGAGTACAAGGGCCAAAAGTGAAGGACCTGATTTGAGAGCATTTCCGCAATCGGATACATGTATAGAAGAAAGGAAATATATATAATTGCCTCAATCTGTAAAATATCTCAAGACAGAACACAAAGCATACAATTTATGTTTTGAATATTTTCAATAAAATGATCAAGTAAATACTGCAAATGAACTGTAAGTCGAACAACGAATGCAACTATGGATCCACATGTTTAGCAATACACTTTCATAAAGTATTAAGAGGATACGAGTCGATTTTTCCCCAAATTTTCTACATAACTTTACCAATTACAGACCAATTTAGAAATCAAGTAATATTTTTTAGATGTTTTCTGAAAATCTGGAATAGTAATTAAGTAGATAAAAAGAAAGTCTGAAACTAATCAAGTAATAAATGTCATGTCAATCTAATGTCATGGAGCCTACTGGTTATCTTAATAAGATAAAGGAGACAGATCATTTCCAGAAGAGAAAAAGTATGATTCTGCATAACCAGAAAACCACTTCCTAAAGTGTTTCCAATAATGCATTAACTTTTTTGGTAAAAAGACGTAGACTTGCAAGTTATACACTCGATGATGTAAAATCTTTCACATTAGCTGTCCCAGCTGAAAAGGTATAATACAGGTAATGGACCTTATTAAAGGACCTATTTTTGAAACCCAAGCTTCCAAATCCAACCAAATGGGTCCTAAAGTAAATATGTCGCAATAAAAAAATATCCGAAATTGAGAACATGAAATGAATACCTACTTTTTGATTTTTTGTTATACGTAGATATAGCATTGATCTCGTGCTCCTAGGAAGCAAGAGTTATCTTGCCCACCCCATGATGTGGCGTTGCCACGTCAACGGTAGACATTAGTTATTTTGCCCACTGTAAAAGGAAGAGCTCCGTATATAGATATATACATATAGAGGCAACATAGAAGTGATTAAAATATTTGTCAATAATGCCTAGATTAGAAATTGGATTTAGCCACTTTGTCAAGAAGAAAAGTAACAAATGTAGTGACATAATTTGACGTCGCAGTAAATGATTTGATGGAAAACCTAATTGTGTTTAAAACAGTCAAATGATGGAATGTTATATGACATTGTGTTAAAGATTATGACGCTGTAGCACAATTGTTAGAAATTTAGACAAGTTAATTTAAGTGGGAGTCACGTGAAAGTCAAGGAACTCAAAAAAATTACAATGTAGTTTTATAGGTGTGCTTATAGGCAACTTCTGCTAGCTTCTTTATGTTTTTGATTGGCGAAGCAGTGGAGATATGCAATAGTTTTGGCACTGTTTCAAAAAAGTTAAACTACTTCATGAGTACTCAAATATAGGCAAGAAAAATTCGAGGAACATATGGACACGTGCAACTACCACAAAGCAAGTGCTACACTAATGTCTGGAGAGCCAAACATAGCGCATTCTGTGGCAAAGGCATTGACTATTTACCTTCACGAGTTAGAAAACGGAGTTGTATCCATAAGTTGCAAAGGAACATGGAAATATGAATATCCGTCAGCCTAATGACTTGGCAGCAGATGATTATTACTTCAATAAACATCTCAAAGTATGATAATAATAAAAACCACAAGGAAGAAGACACGTCAAAGTAAAAACAGCCAATTGGAGTTGACATCGTTATATATTGTGTGTGTGTGTTCCGTAAAATAAAGAATTAGTTAGCACTTAATATATATCAGGCAGCGTGAACAAAGACTCATGCTACTCTCTGTGTCATAGATGCAAAATTATTTGACCAATTTCTACTACATATGAGAATCCATACCCAATCAATAAAGGCCTAATGTTTACAAAACAACATCAACTAGTAGAGCTAACAAAACAACATCAACTAGTAGAGCTAGAAGCAGACATATATTAATTTAATTATTCTTTTTCTTCTTCCATTTTCTGGGGTTGGACGATTAATTTATAACATGTTTGGGGAACTGCAGATATATTAGTTCACATTATGGTAAATAACTGTTTAAGTATGAGAAAACAAGGAACATATTATAATTGTTATTAAGCTTCATTAGTGGAAAGTATCGATATTTGATAATGACATACAGCATGATGCCACTGAAAGAACGGAAGATCAAAATCATTAATAATACTAATTTAAAAGAAACTTTTACCATTATGTTACTGGAATTTCCCAAAAACCAAAATCTATAGTGGAATCCAGTTTTGTTGGATGTCCATTGTGTCATTTCCCAGCTTTGGAAACAGAAGAAATCTCCTCCATTTTTAGTTTTGGGCCTAAAACTAAACTTATTTTAGATTGTGAAAAAGGGGCTGCACATCCCTAGTATCAGAAAAATGAAAAGATCACATTTTCCTGTGTTTGATGGACCTATTCAAGACTATTGTTTTTCACAAGTTTTGAGGGAGTACGATAGGCCCACGAAATAAGCAACAAAATCCAATTCAATAAGTTGGTCAAAAACTAATAACCTGGGGAAAAGTTGTGAACAACTAACATTACTAGGCAATTATTGGAACAAATAAAAAGGCTGGCTTAATTTTCAACTTCCCACCTCTCCTGGTTAGGAGAGGGAAGAGTTCGATATCCATACTATCCTTGCAAGTAGAAATGTTGTTCCCACAACTCAAACCATGACATCCAGGTTGAGTCTAAATAATTCATCCAATCCATTCCCTCTATAACCAAAAATAATGAAACTGGTGTATGCCGTATATTGCGCATGCAAATGATAGAGGGAGTCAGACAGGAGGAAGAATTTGGGAAAAGCAGAGGAGCTAAAGAACAAAGCTATGTTTAACTATTAGCTGAATTATTTTTTTTGATAGGTAAGCTATTAGCTGAATTATCAAGTACATTGTTTGCTTTCCACTCAAATTATGGGAGCAGATTCCAGTAGAACGTGCACAAAGCCGACGCAACGCATAATTAACAAAAGTAGATTAACTGAGAATCTATTTTTTAGCGGAGATTTTGATGGATTACCTGGAGCGCGAGGATATTTCTTTGGGGTTTTGGAACCATCTTTTACGCATATAACTGCTAATCTTTGCCCGTATTTGCTGCGTGATTCCACTGGAATGAAACAATATGAAATATCAATAGATTACGCAGGTTACTGCAGCAACGCAGGCTTTGTGACTTCGTTTACATTTGAATGAGACAGGTGGATCTATGTGCAAACCAAGTCTCTAGCTGTAGGAAGCTTACTGTGACTAACTGCAGTTAATACATTTCATTGAACCAATATAAAGAGCAGTCATATCAAAATGAAGCTCACTAAAATAAGTGTCCTAGATTTTCTTTGGTTATCATTGGATTCCAGGGAGAGAACAAATTTTCAGAATGGTACAAATTTTATTCACCTACTGGTGTTAATCATGATATTAAAAATAATGAAATTGCAACATACTAAGTGAGAGAAAAACTTCGCTTCATTTTCCAACATTGTGAATACAAGTAAATAAAACAGCAGCAAATTGATGAAACATAAAACAAATTCCCATTGATGTCATTTTAGTGAATTATTGGTTGCATTCAAGACATAAAAGCCAAAAGTAGATCAATAGAAACGTACCAGAACACATTAGCAAAAGAGAAGCATGCATCAAACGGCTCTTGCAACTTCCTCCTAGTAACACAGTTTAAAGTGAAATTTATTACCCAAATATTTGCAAGATACATCTACATACACATCTCTACATATATACATCCATACACAGGCACAAATACCACATGTATGTGTACTCACACATAATCGTGTGAAAACACACATTCGCCACCTAAATACACGTGTATATGCAAAATGGTAGAAGAAAGAAAATATATAGAACTGAATATCTACTTGTGCAATTGATAATCTATAGAACTTCCCTTGACTGCAACAAACCTGGGGATCGTGACCCTTAGCAGAAACATACCACCAACACGGATTAGAGGAAGAAAGGACTCAGCTGCATACCAAAGAAGAACCAGATGCTCAAGGAGTTATATGATGTTCATATCTACAGAGAATGGATCCACATTACATCACGAAAGAATTAATAACCTATGTTTACCTAGAAATTCTCATTTCTTTGACTGCTCTAGTTACTGCAACCCTGCAACATCAAAGATCTCTGAAGGAGCCATCTTGTCCTTAACACTGTCCTATTCAGATATGCAATGTGTGTATAACGTGTAGGAGAATATGAGTAAAACATCCAAAATTTATAGTACGAAGCAAAAATCCACTGCAAGTATTTCAGGTATATTACAATAACAATTCATTTAAGAAATTACAAGACTCTATTACAGAAAGCAAGAAAAAGAGAAATAGCATTATGTGGAGCAAGTAATTGATTGATAATAACCAGCAGCCAGGTGCATCTAGAGATCCGACATTTCAACTAATAAAAGAGTTTTTGCAAGAAAGGACATGAACCACTAATGAAGTTGAAGATATTTTGCAACTATTTGAGTGTAATAAGATTGCTCTTCGCCTAGAACAAAATTTTACTTGGTGCACCACCTGGATGTTCATTTAAATTGGAATTACACATGGGAAAAGATTACTTAACTCTGATTCCAAATATTATGGGAGCTAAGAATGTACTAAACATCGGTTCGCATGTACCCATCTATATAGTCAAAACCCTACCGGCAACCTCTAATTTAACTCTGGCAAATATCTTGCTTGAATTCCAGCATTACACAAGCTGATCGTCCATGCCAACTACCTTAAGTAGGCATGAACTAGCAAAGCATAAACATGAGGAGGAAAAAAAATACATTTTTTATGTTCTGGTGAAAATATACCTCAGCCGGTCTCATTAAACTTGAACGTTTGGCGAGCCAATGAGGCCTACCACATTCTCCAAGAAGACACATAACTTATACATAGATTCCAATAACGTCGCCTTTTGACCTATAATTTCCCGTCAAGTGAAAACACATAAAGTATTCTTATATTCACATATGACCCTACATTGAAAAATAATACGCAACATATAACTAACAGACAAGTTATTAGAATTACCTGGGCACGCAGTGGCCAGTATTATTCCAGGAAGCATACCCCACTTCCAACATCAACAACACTCATAATTTCCAAAGATTTGCTACAATGAGCAAGATAAGAGCTACGAATGGGATCAATGATTACCAAAGAATCCTCCACATGACTTTCCATCATTTCATTTTCTTCTTTGACAGCTGTAAGATTCATCTTCTAATCCACCCAACACAAAAAAAAAAAAAAAATTTAAAAAAAATCAATAAACAACATAACCCAAGCCCAATACAATTGAACGCGTGAAATGTAGTGTAGTACGTATATTACTCGGTTCCAATGGAGAAGGCAGTCAATGTAGACATGAATTTGATTTTTTTGGTGAAAAGTTAAGGCCTCGAAATGTGATCCGTGGACGCCACCTCCGGCGGGGGCGGGGGAAATTGGACCGGTGGTTTTATGGATTGAAATTGGGTTGAGTTTTAAGTGATGATGATTATGGAACTGGAAGGTGTTTGTGTAATTGTTATGTCCAGGTCAATCAACTTTGAAACAAAAACGTTTTTAATATATATTATCAATGCGATACAAATTACATATAATTGAATTTTAAATCATCTGTAGTCATATGTAATAACGAGATACATATATCGTTATTACGGATAAACAGTCACGTGTGTCATTTCTTACTTGTGAAGTAAGTAACTGAACTCACAAGCTAAAGTGTGGTGAGGAGACCCGCTGAGAGATTCCACATGGATAACTATATGAGTGTCAGTGGTTAATCTTTAACATTCGGTAGTGGAATTGGTCATTTGACTTGAGGTCATCATAGTTCCAGGACAGTCATAATTTGGTGATTGTGGATGTTGCTCTGTCAATGATCGCCAATAACTGATTAGCTTGATGAGCAGAAAAGCAGACTGACATTTTCTAATCTTTAAATAAGATGAGATAGATTTGACTCTCTAGAACCGAAAGAACCTATCGTTCGAAAATGTCAAGAATCATAAAAAGGTTGTGAATGATCAATAGATGATTCATCACTCCTAAATACTAAGAGATTATGATCTACATTTTATCCAGTTAAATTGATAATGAAATTCTTGACCAAGGTGAAATCATACATTGACTTAAATGTGTGATAAAAGATATTATCGATAATTGAGATTGATACATATCCATATTTCGTAATTGATCGGATTATATTGACGAAATGATTATAGTTTCACGATAAATGAACAAGTTTGATTTTGTTACACCACGTGACATTTCCCATCACATGTATTGTTCTGACACATTGTTAGATGTCAATTTGGGATGACGAATATGAATTAGTGATAAATTAAAATGAGTGTTTTAATTTATTAATTTTGATTTGATCAAAATAATAATTCACGTCATTAGGTATCGTGATTGGGAACATAATGGGTCACACGCAAAAGAGAACTAGAAGAATGAGATTTATCAATTAATTAATTGACAAGTGTTGAACAATTAATTAATTGTGTTGCTTATTAATATACCCGAATTAATTCATGGATTAATTAATTTATGAACCATATTTAACTAATTTGATAAATTAAATATTAAACCGAGTTAAGTTTAAGAAACAGGTTAAGCCCGCATGAGCTTATATTACTAGGCTGCTATGGTTTGAAAACTTTAAAAAATAATTCATTATCCTTGCTAGCACAAAAAAAAGAAAACTTTAGTTGTCATTTTTGTTCTCTGTGTGGATTACCGTTGGAAGCTGGACAATTGGACACTTAGATTGCAAATCGTAATTATTCGAGTTCAAGAAAAACAAATGAGTTTGTGGATATAGCATAATTCTTATCACAATTTCTATCTAAACACAATGCATATCTATGGTGAGAATTGAAAATTGTTTTATTTTTCGCTGTGCATGTTAAGTAAATTTCCCAACAGTGGTATCAGAGCCTACTTTGTATTTGTTAGAAATTGTTATGTATGATTGAACAATTAAAAATTGATTGTTTATATTTGTTTCTTGAATCTAGCAGTTTAAAAAATTATTTTTCATCTTCAAAAATCTGTTTTGAAAAGGAAAATACTTTTTTTGTCCAAAAAAAAT